GAGATAGGAGTAGGAGGGGCGGCCAATATAAAAGGCCTTTCTGGGGCTCCGGAAGTAGGCCTTTCCGCCATTCGAGATAGCCTAAGGGACTCTATTCCCGTTGGTGGGCGGCTGAAGGCGTTTGCCAGCCAATGGAATTCGTCTACCTCTGACTCTTGGGTCAGGGACACCGTTCATTTCAGCCTTGCCCTTGAGTTCCATTCCACTCCCCCAAATTTTTTTATGTCATCCCCCCTCTCTAATGCAGCCTAATGGATTCCGCCATCCAGCATCTCCTTAGTATAGGTGCCATACAACTGGTTCAGCCTGACCAACAAGGACGAGGTTTTTATTTCCACCTTTTCGTCGTCCCAAAACACTCAGGGGGGTGGAGGGCCATACTAGATCTAAAGCGACTTAACCGTTTTTTAACATATCGCAAGTTCAAAATGCACACCCTACAGTCTATCCTACTGGGTATCAGACAGGGGGACCTTCTCACCTCCATAGACTTAACAGAAGCTTACCTACATATTGCCATTCGGCCCTCCCATTCCAAATTCCTAAGGTTTTGTTACAATAACCAACACTTCGAATACGTGGCCCTTCCCTTTGGACTGGCTTCCGCCCCCAGGACCTTTACAAGGTCCTGGTAGCCCTGGCGGCTCATATCAGAAATAGCCCCATCCATCTCCAATGCTATCTAGACAATATTTTGATTCAATCACCATCTATCGATCAGGCAGTGAGGGACACCCAGGCCACCTTAGATTCCCTTCAGGAACATGGGTTCCTCATAAATTGGAAGAGCCAATTAGCTCCTTCTACCCGAATAACCCACCTGGGGGCTCTTATCAACACAGTGGAAGGTAAGGTCTACCTGTCTTCAGAAAGACTCCTTAGTATTCAGAAATTGGTTAAGGAAACTAGGCATCGCAAGAGGGTGCCCTTATTGGAATTGTCAAAATTATTGGGAAAAATGATTTCCTGCATTTCTATTGTTCCCTGGGCCCATCTTCATACCAAATCCCTACAGTGGTTCCTGCTCCCGTACCAGAGATCCGGCAGAAGCAATTCCAAGCTCCCGGTCAGGGTTCCTCCCAAGGTCCTCACGTCCCTCCTCTGGTGGACAAGACCACTCATCAACAAGGGCTGTTTCTTCAAGGAACCTCAAAGGCTGACTTTCACCACCGATGCCAGCCTATTCGGATGGGGAGCCCACTTCTGGTCTCTCTCATCCCAGGGGAGATGGACAGCAATAGAACAATCGTGCAGTATAAATTGGCTGGCGCTCCATGCCGTTCTCCTGGCCCTGCGCAGCTTCCTCCCCCAGGTACGCGGGCAACATGTCCTCATTTTGACAGATGTCACAGCCAAGGCACACATCAACAAACAAGGGGGCACACATTCAATCGAGTTAATGAAGGAAGCCGAGCGCCTCTGTCGCTGGGCAGAGACCAACCTTCTGCCCATCAAGGCAGAGCACATATCAGGACCCTCAAATATCCAAGCAGACTGGTTAAGCAGGGCCACCATAGACCAATCGGAGTGGTGCCTCCACCCATCCCTGTTCAGAGAGGCAACAAGGATATTCGGGAAACCGGTGATAGACCTGTTTGCCTCCCCCCTCAATACCCAGCTCCCAAGATTCCTGTCAAGATACCCCTCCCAAGGAGCGAAGAATCACAATGCGTTTACAATTAAAAAAAATGTAAGAGGCTGGCCCATGTCGTGGTGGCCCACTCTACCCAATGTGAACAGGAAACCTCAGGCCAGCATGGTTCGGCCTGGTCTACACAATGCAAAGAGGAAACATTGGGCCAGCGTGGCTTTGGACCTGCCCAGTGCAAAGAAGAAACATGCCAGCAGTTTGGGGAGTGACATCAACCTGGCCACTCCCACCCACTTGGCCACACCACCCAGTCAACCATGCCTGCCAGGTCCACCGAGATCAACCACAGCCCTGATGCAGCCCTCAATGAAATTGATTTTGACACCCCTGTCCGAGTTGTACATGCTACAGGCCACCCAACGAAGCAGAAAAAAATAGATGTACTTTTTGCCAACCAACTAACAAATATATGTTGGAAACACACTACAATAGTAATGGGGGACTTAAATTCCCTGATATCAATTGGAAGACTAATTCTGCACCAAATGAGAAATCAAGTAAGATTCCTGACCTACCTAGCTGACAACTTAGTTGTCCAAAAGGTAGAGGGGGGAACTAGAAGGACAGCCATACTGGACTTAATTCTTACAAATAGAGAAGAATTGATGGGGGAGTTGAAACTGCAGGAACCTTGGATAAAAGTGACCATGTCATACTAAAATTCAATGTAACACAAACACAAGCAATAGAACACAATGATACCAGAGTCCTAGACTTAAATGAGTTGATTTTAACAAGCTCAGAGAAAACTTGGGATAGATTCTTTGGATGAAAATCCTTATGTGGAAAACAACTCAAGAAGCTTGGGAAACTCTGAAAAATATGATCATAAAAGCCCAGTCCAGCACAATATTGATGAAAAAGAAAAACAAGAAATCCAAGATTTCTTCCAACTCTGTTAATCTGTATCTGTATGTTTATATTTTCTTGTTTGCTGCAAAACACTGAATGAGATTATCTTCAAAGATAATTCAGAAACCTGAATTAGTTCAATATATAGCTACAGGACTATTGAAACTTGATCATAACAATGGGTTTTCAAACTTATAATTATCAGCAAACCAAAGTAAATTATTTTAAAGCTTATACAATTTGTCTCTGCCAAACACTGCAGAATTCTTTTTCTGGAAAAAGGGAACTACAATATCTATAGAGTGTAGAAAGTTAGCACCCACCCTTCTCCTAGAAGAATGAAATATTCTAGGAAATATTAAAAAGGAAGAATATTATATTTCACTGGATGAGAAAAGGAGAAACATGTTTTTAAAGACAAAACAGCTCCCTGCCCCACCCCCCTCAGCTACAGGGTGATGGAATTAAGACATGGCCCTCAAGACATGATAGGATTAGCCCTCTACCCATCTCATCACAGGGCACCTGGGAAGATTACATTACCCAGCAAGATTCAACCAAGCTTGGGTCTCAAGACCACCTACAAAGTTACCCCTGCATGGCCCCATGGGAGTCTGACAACCAATCAGGATACATTTCTTGCCACAGGAATAGGTAGCAAGTTCAAAGCCCAACAGAGATTATAAATCTCTCTCCCTCTCTCAACCATGTGTTTTTTTGCCCTGGACCTCACTGTGGTCCTGTCCACCATTAAAACCATCCTTCCAAGCAGTCTCCATGTTTCCAGTGTCTTTCTTACTACTTGGAACTGAACCCAGATGGACATTTCTTCCAGTAAGAGTTTGAGTGCTAATTGTGCTCAAAAAAGTAATAGGTAGCCCGGAACAAAAACTAACCTTCTAAAAATGAGCTAATTTAACTTTAAAATCTTTATCCTTAGTAACAACTTTTAGAGATCTCTAGGAATCGTACTAGAGTTTTTGGAGCCTATATGTTGCTCTGGGTTTCAGACTGCAAATCAGCAATGAAGTGATGTTAACATATTCTTTCCTAGCACTTTATACACAATTCAGTGACAATATTAGTTCACCTTTTAATGACTTTGTTTGAAAATGTATGCATTTTACTTTTTCTTCTGTATCTCTCCCTCCTACACCTGAACATTCTAACCCCTAACCCTGGAAAAAAGAGCAAACTTTCAAACATCAATAGGGGTCCTGCTCTCTGCACTGACTCATGTCAATGTAAAGTTAACAATTCCAAAACTATTGCAAAATTAGCCCATGTACTCTGGCAGACACTGTCATTTCTGCAAGCAAATGGTGCTAATGGCTATAACTTTAGAGAACCTTTTCTTAAGATATTCATTGTATTTTCTCTATTGAAACTTATAATAAAGGCACTGAACCTCTTTAATATCAGAAATTGTGTTGCTAGAAGCAGGGGAAATGTTTTTGAAAGAAATAACGTAATTCCCCCATGCCTCCCGAATCAATATTCAACTGTTTGCATTTCCATTCTCCTTAAAAGGATGAATCATATCTTTGTCAACTGGTTTTGGCACAATTTGCAGTTTAGTTTTTCAATTACCTAATGTTTTTTTCTCCAAGAGAAAAAAATAAAACTTGTTTTAATTAGGATAAATCCTAGGGAAAGAACAGGTAACAGAATAACAGAGTTGGAAGGGACATTAGAAGTCTTCTAGCCCAACTTCCTGATCAAGCACAGACCCCCAGTGATGAAGCACCCACAACTTCTTAAGGCAAGTTGTTCCACTGATTGTTCTCACTGTCAGAAAATTTCTCCTTAATTCTAAGTTGGATATCTAGATACTAGAGATGAGTTATGTTTTAATTTTTATTGATGCATTTCTTCATACCTTTTATCTGCCATTTATTCATTCCCAATAAAATCTTGAATTTCTGAGCGGAATTTCTGAGTAGATTTTGAAAGTTTGTTAGCCAGCTCCGGAGTTATCTCCCTTGCCTTTTGACGCTTTTAATCAATAAGAATCTAAATGAGCCTTATTCTATAGAAGTCGTCGGTCAGATGCTTTTCAGCAGTTAACTAGAAAGCAACATACTTCTCTAGGTTCCAGTAAGATTTTTTAATAGATGGTAGGAGTAGGCGGGCAGAGAAGGACCAGGTAGGGTCTAAAGTCTTCATTCTGCGAAAAGTACTGCAAGCATTGTTTACCAGAATGCCCTACAAAGATTGTGCAGGTAAAATATTAACGCGGGAAACACGTGTTTCAAGTGCAGCTATCAAAGGAACCAGACAGGAGCACAGCAAGACAGAGCAATTGACCCGGGATACCGCTACTCATTGTATGAACAAGCAAGAGACAGTTGAGAAAAACAGACCACGAACAAGAAGCACACTAACAAAAAATGGTCCGAAACTGCATGGGGCGAAAGGAGGGGGGGCGGGAATCACAACGGCTGCAGGAGCAAAAGTGACCTGCAGGTGTGGTCCTGGTCCGGCAGCACTTTCTTACCTCTGGTTCCAGCTGGGCCTAGCGTCTACCCCGAAGGGGGCGCGCCAACGACCCAGACCAGCCCTCCCAGCGACGGGAGGGCGGGGCGGAGCCGGGAGTCTGCGGCGGCCGCGAAAAAACCCAGGAAGGAGGGGAGGGGCCCAAAGGGCTGCCACCGCGCCCCCTCGGCAGATCGCCTTTCCTGAAGTCAAAGCCGCTTTCCGATATAAACCGACCAGCTCCGCCGAGCCTTTAATTTCCCAGGCTCAGGCCCCCTCCTTGTCTTTTCGTTTACCCACTTCCTGCCAAAGGGGGCGCCAACAGGCGGTTCTTCCGGTGCACATGACTTGCCTTCGCCTTGAGCCCTTGACTAGCGAGGTTTGCAGTTGCCATGGTGATGGAGAGAGGGCGCTCGAGGTCGATCCTCGTTGGTATTGGGCGGGTCTTTATTTCTTTTGCAGGCAGCGCAGAAGTGCGTGAAGCTTCTGCTGCTCTCCTCGCTGCGTTTGGGAGTTCAGGGGATACAGCTTAGAAGGATGCGTTTTTCTTGACTTCTTGAATTTCTGGGAACAAGAATTCACGAGCCTTAAAGAAAGGGAGGGAGGCAGAAAGGCGTGGCCCTACTAGATCACCGTTTCAAGGAAAAGCGGGAAGTACGCGGGGTTTGAACGAAGCTGTTAAAATGGGGACTAAAGGGAAATACTAAATTCATAAACATGTAGGGTTGAAAAGGATCTCGGAGGGCTTCTAATCAACGTTACCTGAAATTACCTGAAAATTGCTCAGAAACAAATGAACAACATGGGATGCTTTGAATACATTGAGCACATTTAAATCCCCACCAACACATGCAATTAATCCATTTAAATAGTTAAAGGGACCTTATGTCGTTTTCTTAATATTAAACCAGACTTCTAATTATTTTATTCTTAAACACGTTTAAGAGCATTACCCACTTTTTTTTACTTAGTTCATTCGGAGCTTTGCGTTTCCTGATTTTATCCTTGCAAATTCAAGTGCTGGTATTTGCTGGTGTTCTGTTTTAGTAACTTGTCCTTTTTGTCTCATAGTTTATGAGAGTTCTTTATGAAACCATGCCGGTTTTGTCTGGAGTCCCTTGTTTTTCTTTCTCTGTGGCATTCTTTTAGATTTGACTTTTGTAATCTCATTTTTCAAAGTTTTCCAGGCATCTTGATTTGTTTTCCCTTTTAAGATTTCTATCTATAGAATCCTTCCAAAGCTATTTGGAATTTGGGTTAGGGTTAGGTCTGTTGAAGATTAACTCTCTTAAAGTCTAAGGCGCTAGTTCTATTATTTGTGCCTGAATTATGTTGAATTCTAGTATGACATGGTCACTCTTCCCCCAAAGTTCCTGCAACTTCCATTCCCTCAATTATTTCATCTCTATTACTAATAATTAAATCCAGTATAGCTGACCCTCAGGTTACCTTTTCTATCTTTTGGATAACAAAGTTGTCTGCTAAGTTCATTAGGAATCTGAGCTTCCACTTGTCCCACTTGTTGATTTCAGGGTAATTAAAGTCCCCTATTACTACTATAGTGTATTTACTGTACACCATAGCTAACCGATTAGCAAAAAGTTCATCCACTTTCTCTTCTTGGTTTGGTGGTTGTAGTATAAACCTATGACAATGTTTTATATTAACCCATATCTATTCAAGAAGATTTTCATTCTTGTTTTTGTGTATTTCTCTGTAGTTTTTGTGTAGTTATTTTTTTACATATAACGCAAACCCACCTCTTCTTTTGTTAGGTCTGTTTCTTTTGAATAATTTAAATCCAACAGTATATTCCAATCATGTGTTTCATCGCAAATTTTGATAATGGCAACAATGTATCTGCTATAGGTTCACCCAGTTTGTTCTTCATACTTGGAGCATTAGTGTATAAGTATCTGAGTCTTTTTGTTTGCTGACTGCATTTGTTTCTTATGTCTCCTGTTTATATCTGAGTTCCCCTTCTCACCACTCCCTGGTTATTCTGGGATTTATGCTTGGGATTAGGTTCTAAAGATCAGAAAGTTTGATCTCCCTCTCCTTCCTATTTTAGTTCAAAGCCCTTTAGATAAGCTGAACCATTTGTTTTCCAAACACATTCTTACCTATTCTTATGAGGTGCAGCCATTCCCTGCCAAAATCCCTTATTGTAAACAATGTAGGCCATGGTCTAGGAATGCAAAGTTCTCTTGATAGCCCTAAGTAACTTCTAAATCCCTCCATTCTCTCATTGGATGTTGGTCTTGTAGAAAGTTAGCACCCACCCCTCTCCTAGAAGAATAAAATATTCTAGGAAATATAAAAAAGGCAGAATATTATATTTCCCTGGATGAGAAAGGGAGAAACATATTTTTAAAGACAAAGCAGCTTCCTGCAGTTCCTTGCCCCTACCCCTCCTTCAGCACCAGGGTGATGGGATCAGGGCATGATAGGATTAGCCCTCTACGCATCTCACCACATGGCATCTGGGAGGATTGCATCATCCAGCAAGATTCAACCCCTGCATGGCCCCATGGGAGTCTCTTTGTTTTGTATACATTTTTTATTTTTATTTCTTTAAAGACATCTTTGGATAAACAATGTGATTCCAGGTATTTAACTTTTTAAAGCAAACATGACCATAATTACATATTCCAACTATTAACTTTCTTATCTGATTTCATATTCATATTGTTACATATTACCAATTTTATAATTCAATATTCTTATATATTACTTTATATCAATTTCTATATTCTTAATATCATTTTATACATGTTCTTGTAATCATATTTGCAAGTTTTATAAAATTATATCATTCAATTAATATTCCTAAGTTGTTCTTAATTTATATTATCCAGTATTTATCCCCTTTTTAATATTAATTTTGCCACCATTGTATTTTTAATACTAAGTCCCTCTCTAATTACATTACACAAATCATACTTTCTATCTTTTTTTTATTTAACAAATTATAGATTCTAACAACAATATAATCATTTTTATCTATTACCATATACTATATACATACATATATGTTCTCCACATGACATTTCCATCCCTATTCCTTAAACAATTATATATCTTAAATAACAATCCTATAATAAATTCTTATTTTCATAAATATTCCAATTCCTTATTTTTATTCTAATATATTTATGTATCTTTAATAATTCTATGATACGTGTTCATTTCAAATTTATCAGTCAATAATTGACTAATAAAGTACCCATTCACATGGAATCCTTATCCTTCCCTTCTTCGACAATTGTCTTTTACTCTCCTTACTATATTAATTATTCTCTCCCTGGCTTGTCTTCTATTTTCTATCATTTTTTGACCCTTTATCTTGCTCATTCCTCTTTTCTCTGTTACTTTCCACTGTTTCTTTTTCTGGTTATCTGGTTTTACCCCCACCCTCTCCAAATTGTCTTTCTGTAATTGCCTTTCCTGTTGCTTTACCTTCAAAATACCTCCCCTTGATTTATTACATCCATCATTAACATTTTAATTTTGATTTCCTTTTTGTCCTTTTGTTATGTTTGTTGCTCCCTTTGCCCCGTTTGGTTGGTTTCTCTTTTGACCCCTCCTCCTCCTGCATTCCTTGTTCTTCTGTAGTTTGCGTCACCATTTCAAAAAACACTTCCATGCTCTGTATTTTATTCCATAAGTCCAAGCTTCTGTTTATATTTTCTTTTTTGAAGTTCCAACACTATTTCTTTGCATATTTTGCTCATTTTTTTTGCTTATTTTATTTTTGTGTCCAATTGTCCCACAGTTTTTATTTAAACCAAGCACAGTAATCAAGCACAGTAATCCTACGGTCATTGAACCAGGTTTTGGTGCTTTTGGCAGTGTGGGCAGGTGTCAAGTCCTGCTGGAAAATGAAGTCAGCATCCCCATAAAGCTCATCTGTGGAAGGAAGCATGAAGTGCTCCAAAATCTCCTGGTAGATGGCTGCGTTGACCCTGGACTTAATGAAGCCCAGTGGACCAACACCAGCAGATGACATGGCTCCCCAAATCAACACAGACTGTGGAAACTTCACACTGGACTTTAAGCATCTTGCAGTGTGTGTCTCTCCATTCTTCCTCCAGACTCTGGGTCCCTGGTTTCCAAATGAGATGCAAAAGTTACTCTCATCAGAAAAGGAGACTTTGGACCACTTAGCAACAGACCAGTTCTGTTTTTCTTTAGCCCAGGTAAGATGCTTCTGACATTGTTTGTTGTTCAGGAGCGGCTTGACAAGAGGAATACGACATTTGAAGCCCATGCCCAGGATCCATCTGTGTGTGGTGACTCTTGATACACTGACTCCAGCCTCAGTCCACTCCTTGTGAAAGTCCCCAACACTTTTGAATGGCCTTTTCCTGACAATCCTCTCCAGGCTGCGGTCATCCCTGCTGCTTGTGCACCTTTTTCTTCCACACTTTTCCCTTCCACATAACTTTCTATTAATGTGCTTTGATACAGCACTTTGGGAACATCCAACTTCTTTTGCAATTACCTTTTGAGGCTTTCCCTCCTTATGGAGGGTATCGGTGATGGTTTTCTGCACAACTGTCAGGTCAGCAGTCTTTCCCATGATTGTGATTCCTACTGAACCAGACTGAGAGACCATTTAAAGGCGCAGGAACCCTTTGCAGATGTTATGGCTTAATTAGCTGATTAGAGTGGGACACTTTGAGCCTAGAATATTGAACCTTTTCACAATATTCTAATTTTCTGAGATTCTGGATTTGGGGTTTTCATGAGCTGTAAGCCATAATCATCTCAATTGTGATAAATCATGGCTTGAACTATCTTGCTTTGCCTATGATGAGTCGATATCATATATTAGTTTCATCTTTTAAGTTGCATTACTGAAATAAATGAACTTTTGCATTATATTCTAATTTTTCAAGTTTCACCTGTATAAACATAATTATGAATACATGAAATGGATACATATAAGAAAAATAAAAAGAAACAATAGGACAGGGATGGTAGGCATGTTTGTGCGCTTATGCACCTCTTAGGAAAGGAGTGACATCCATAGTCGACAGTCTAAGGTTAAAGTTTTTGGGGTTTGGGGAAGAAACCACAGAGACAGGTAGAGTATTCCAGACTACTCTGTTGCTGAAGTCATATTTCCTGCAATCAAGTTTGGTGCGGTTTACCTTGAGTTTATATCTATTTTGTGCTCTTGTATTGTTATGGTTGAAGCTGAAGTATTCATTGACTGATAGGACATTGTAATGTATGATTTTATATACTATACTTAAATCAGACCGA